AATTCTCCGCACGGTCATGCTATAGAATTAAATTCGATACGTGGTCCGTTCAATACACTCCAAGTGTACAAGTGCCACCTTTAACTATTTCTGTGATAAGGACAAATCAAAAACCCGAATAGTGAATTGGTCAACACTACAACCTTCCAATATAAGGTGTCAACCCTTATACATTGGTTGTGAACAAATTATTTATGATCAAAATACAAGTTGTGTCTCACTGTACTTTTCAACGCAAGTATCCAACTCATATTATCACAAGTGATCACGGGCACTTTAATTTCGCATGCTCAATGAAAAATTGCAATAAATAAAATAAACATAATTTTATTCAATATTAAAAAATTATTATTATTGTTATTTTTACATCATCAAAACTATACTATATGGGCACACAACCCAACATAGTCTTATTTGATGAAGTCACAATCCCATACCCCCTCCTTTCGTCCCGTGAGGTAAGGGGTGAGGAGAAAGTAAGGTAATCTCAGCACAATCCACTATACCCTTTATTGCAAATTTATAAGAAATTTGGAAGGTAAGTGTCAAGATTAGAAGGTTTGAGACCCGCAACACATTTTTGAAAGGTTTAGAACCTTTATTGCAAATTTTCCTTATTTTGAATGGTTTGGAATCGGATCTTAAGATTCTAAAGATTTATTTTTTTAATGGACTTTATTGTTATTGATAGATTGTCTTGGATTGGGATCTTCCAAAATCCAATACCACTTGAAATTACCTCCTCAATTTAACTCAAAATGGACCAAATCCAATATAAATCTTCTAGGAAATGAACATGAATATCGTAGGGTGCAAATATCTAGTGTTTCGTAAACTTATTTAAAAAATAAAAAATAAAATAAGACAACCGCTACTTTTTTTTCTTGATTGTGCTGGAAATTAAGAAATATTGAGTTAAATTTCACAAGGGATTTGTGGTTCTAAGCTAAAAGTGCAGACTTTGGTCTCTAGCAAGAAATGAAGATGTACTAATAAGATTTGATCAAAGTGATTGGACCTATTCAAAATTAATAATTAACATCTTGTCATCAATCACGAAAACGCGTAAAGAAATACTAGAGCAATGCTCTAGATTTGGAGCCACTATGGTGGCACCTACCTTATTTTGAATGTATTATACTCTCTTTCAAAAATGTTGATTGTTGTACATTGGAGTACTTCTATTCTCCATTGTCTCGCAACACCATTGCCCTTTTGTTTAGGCATTGAGGAGCGATATGCCCCGATCCCAAGCATCTAAAATACTTGATGTCTCGATTCCTAGATGGTTGTGACTCTGATTTTGGTATTGTGCTGCTTGCACCCTCATCTTTCCCCCTTTGCCAATCATTCCTACCTTTTGTTATAGCCCTATCACCCTTGTTATTATCCCACCTCGATTTTCAAGATGAATTAGAACCTGAAATACCTAATGGTTGCCTAGCTGTTCCCTTCCTCTTCAATTGTCTCTCCACCTTCATGGCTACATGCAACATATCTTCTAACTTCATATAATTCTGCAACTCCACTACATTAGCAATTTTCCTATTTAACCCATTCAAGAACCGTGCCATGGTAGCTCCCAATCCTCACCACATTTTCCCTAATCATAGTATCTCCATCTCCTTGTGGTAATCCTTCACGCTCTTTGACCCTTGATACAAATTTTGCAATTTCTGATGGATTTTCCTATAATAGTGACTAGGAACGAACCATTATCTTATCAATGTCTTCAACTCCTTCCGAGTACTAATCGGTCTTCTCCCACACCTACGTTGTGTAGTAACAACTTGATCCCACCAAGTTATTGCATAGTCAATGAACTCTAGAACCGTCAACTTCACCTTCTTCTTTTCTGAGTAGGAATAACATTCGAAAATCAATTCAACCTTTCTTTCCCACTCTAGTACACCTCTGGTCACTTCTCCCTTTAAATTGTAGAATGGCATTTTGATATTACCCATGTTTCCATCTATCTCATCTCCATTATTATTCATACCCCGTCTTTCAAACCTATTGCCTCTATTCCTCATCCTCCCCAAATCAACGTCATTAGCCTCATACTCATTCAGATCATTATCATATTCCTCACGCCTTACCCTCCTAGGTTCTCGCCTACCCGGTCCTTTAGCATTCGACACCTCTACTTGTTGTCCCCTACTAAGATTAGCCATGGATGTATCCAACCTATTCATCCAAGCTTCCTATTTTATCCTCCAAACTTTTTGCTGATCCAACCTATCCCTTACATCTCCAAACGCACTTTCAAATCACTATATCAAATCATCCATTGCACTGTTATGATTGTCGTGACGGCTTGAATTGGAATCTTCTCGTTCAGACATCCTAAAACTAGAATTTTATCTGCCTCATCGATATTCATTCGAAAATCATACAATATGACTTTTTCCTTCTATTAATCTCACCACTCTGCCTTTTACCACTCAGTGCTTTCCTCCAAGCGCTTCAAAGAACAAAGTGAAATTCTTAAACCCGTGGAATTCCTAACCAATGTGAACCAAAGATGGTGAAACAAAAGGACTCGAAAAATTTTGATGGAATAAAGCCGGACTTTAATTGAATGAAAGAAACTAGTGTGACTCGATAAAATAAAGATTGTTGATAGTAAATTGAACAATAATATGAAAAAACTGATTTTTTTTCAAATTTTTTTCCTCCTTCTTAACTGGATGTGAATAGTAATTTTATTTTTTTTTTTGAACAAGAAAAACAATGAATTAAACTACAAACAAATTAAACAAGATGATTTTGGATGCTAGAATACCCCCAAAACAACTTTGACAAAATTTGACGATAATTTGATGGATTGAAAACTCGAACAACGAAGAAACGAAGAATACGAGAATGGAAACTAAAAAATAAAAATAAAAAAGCGGAAAAACGAAGAACAAAGACTCAAAAAAAAAAAAAAAAAAAAAAAAAAAAGAAAAAAAAAAAAAAAAAAAAAAAAAAGGGAAAAAAAAAAAAAAAAAAACAAAAAAAAAAAAAAAAAAAAAAAAACTAAGGATGTAACCTGTTAAATTGGAGTCTATGCTCTGATACCAACTGATGTGAACCCCGCAACAATGTTGACTACGAAACCCACAATTAGATTGTTAGAATCCCAGAAAAGCCAATTAATAGGTTTCAGAGTTTGAACCCGAATCAATGAACCAAAAAATCTAACAAGATCAAAGTTTGAAAGACCCATTGATTACACGATAAAGACTCGCACCCGAATTGTAGAACGCCACAAGATTGTAACTATTGATAAGTTCCAATTGTTCAATAAAGAACGATGTGAAGAAAACAAATTGCATCTCTTTATTGAATTCTCTCAAAATAATATTCTATAAAGTTTTACAATAAGAATAAACTTATTTATATGTAGAAAATCTATAAACGAATTCTAATAAGAATAAAATTCTAATGAAAATTTAGAAACTAATTCTAATAGGAAAAAAACTCTAATCCTAGCTTAAAATGGAATTAAAGATTACAAGAATTTTACCATAACTAAAACTCTAACAAAATAGGAAAATTTCGGGAAAGGAAATAATTTTCCACGGAAAATAATTATGTGGTCGCATATATATCAGTTTAATTCTTCTTCTTGTGTTGAATTGATCCATTTGGATTCGACCCCTGACCTGAACATGAAAGTTGCCTTTGCGTTCCGAGCATCATACCATCAATGGTTGATTGAATTAGCAACCCATCGCTTGTTTCACTTGCTTTGCCCTCGATCACGTCATCGGTCTGCCTTCCATTTTCAATGGGTCTCACTCCATACTTGTCTTTTTCGAACTTGACTCTTGGATCATATCATATACATATGGTGACTAATGATTTGATGCATAAGACAATAAAAAAATCACCACATTAATGTATTAAATCACTAACCGCTACATGCATGACATGTAGGACGACTATGACAGTAAGTCACTGCTAATTGCATTACTCAATTAGAAACGCTAACCAATTCAAAGTTAGTTCAACAGAATCAAATTTACATAATAATATGATATATTATGGAAACTAAAAAAGTGAATTCAGTTACATAGGTCAACATTAATACAAGTTGATCTATGCTCTATTCGTCAATACATAAATTCGAGCCAAACGAAAACACAAGGCAAAATTGGCAAATTGCAACATTACTTCCTCTGCTTTGAATGCAAGCGCCAGCCACTGCTCGTCTTTGGTACGTACCTTCATCTCAAACAAGCTTCTTAGGTTTTGTTTCGGTTTTACGAATTCGAGAAAAAGTCTTTCTAAGAAAATTAAGAAGAAAAAACTTCTGATGATTTGTTGAAAACACAAATTTCATCGGAAAAAGGTGACAAAATGTGTGCAGGACTCACTATGGTTAGGTAGTTAGTATATGGACATAATTGGTGCCTGTATTTATGTATATAAGGTTGGCAAAGTTTGTAGACCATTTTCTTAACTCAGAACAGCCATTGATCGGGTGTCTGCAGTTCTTTCATCCACGGATGCCCTGAAAATCGTCACAAAGGAAAAACCAGTTAAAATCATTCAACTCGAACTCAACAAGGTCGGAGAATCTAGAACAATTACTGAAAAAAATTTGTTTGAACAATAAACTTGAAAAGTCAAGCAGCAAAATTGAGCTAAATGAATAATCATTTCAAATATTAAAGAATATTTGTTAAGCTTTTAGAATGCAAAAATTTTATCTCAAGAAGGATTAATATAAACAGCCTAAAATACAGAACTTGGTGAAGTTATCAAAGATCACGAGTCGTTCTTCGTCATCAGAACAACCAGAACATTAACATATATTTGCCCACAATTTATGCAAATACATGACCATAAATTCCCTCACATGATGATTCGTACCTTAGAAACAAGAACATGAAAAGGCGATTGCTATTGAATACTAGTTTAAGCAAACGTTTTTACCATTTCAGTAACGTTTATTTCAAAATTTTAATATCTACAGGAAATGCAATCACCATTGAATCATCTACATTGAATATGAATATCATATTTGACCTCAAACAACATGAAAAAAGGAAAGAAGATCAATCATAATACTAATACTTACGTAGAACTTGATCAGCGGAGAACCTTTTGGATACATCCCTACAAAGCATCCGTCTTAGCAAATCCTTACATCCTGGGGATACCGACTCGAAAACCCTTGCCGGGAACCTCAGATTCGCCCTAAGCACGGCATCAAAAATCTCCTTAGCTGACTCCCCATAAAATGGAGGGATGCCGGCTAGCAATATGTACAAAACGACCCCTGAGCTCCACACATCAATCTTTTCATTGTAGCTCTTTCCAGCTAACACCTCCGGAGCGACATAGGAGGGAGTCCCAACAATGCCAGACATCTGCTGGCTGTCACGGAAGAACTCAGCTGAGCCGAAATCAGCAAGCTTCAGCTCATTTCTGTCATTGAAAAGAATGTTGTCCAGCTTTATGTCCCGGTGGGCTACCCCGAGCCGGTGGCAATGTGCTATGGCTTCCATTAGTGGTACATATCAAAGAAAACTTATAAATATGCCTCTCTTTAGAATTAGTAACCATAAAAAACAGTAACAATTCCTGCAAAAAGAACAGAAAATTTTGCGAATCCGTTACCATTCCATGAGGTAAAATTCTTGTGATAATATTAGTGAATAATAACTCTCGAATCCATAAAGAAGATGCAAATTTGTATCGAACTAGTATTCATTACCAACATTGAGTCCACAACTTCAGCTTTTCAGAAAATGTTAAAAAGAACTACATTCAGAAACTACATTCTTGGTCGATTAAATAGAGCAGATCGAATTATTTCTAGGAGATATTAAAAAAAAATTAAAAAAAATGCTGATATGATCATTCTATGACGCCTACAAACAGATAAATTTTCAGAATCCTTTCAATTCATTATCATAAAAGTAATTTAGAAATACAATATAACATTAATTCTTAAATAATTTAACTTATTTATCTGATGTTTGCCCGGAAAACAGAGCATAATGATTAATGCACGTAAAAATAAGAACATCAGAAAATTGCATGAAAAATATTTTTCCTCAAAATTAACGAAAAGTTCTCTCTAACGATATAGCCGTGAAGAATTTGGTCTCTAGAACAAATAAAAATAAAAAACTCACCATGACATTGCGAGCCTCCGATTCGGCGAGAAATGGTCGGGCATGTATCCGCTCAAAAAGGTCCGATGGGTCACAATACTCGAGCACAATGTGGAGAAAGCTATAATCCTCGTAAACATAAAAAATTTTCAAGACATTTGGATGATTATTGCTCGAAACCAGCCGCATGATCTTGGCTTCATTGTAAAGGCACTGTCTGTCAACGGCGTCGTTTTCGATGAGGCGCTTGTCGATTGACTTCACGGCGAAGCAGTCACCGGTGACGGCGGAGTAACACCTGAAAACAACGCCGTACTTTCCCCTCCCAATCTCCTCCTTCACTCTGTAATCTCTCTTGAGTGCCTCAGTCATCGCTTTCTTTCTCTAGGAAAACAGTGCGTACGTGTGGGTGTAGGGTATACTTATAGCGAGACAGGTAGTTGGATTCGTTCGGAGAATATTCGATTAACTGCCCTGCCGATTTATCGCGAGTCTAACGGAACGGGACGGAGTAATATCAGCAGTTTCACGAGCTCTCCAATATTTTGGAGAATATGAAGTTATATTTTATTATAGATTAATGTTATTTTCAGTCACTCATTATCGCAGTCGTCACACTTGATATACATGTAAACATTGGTGATTTAATATATGAGATAAGAAAAAATTATCACGTTAATATATTAAATCATAAATTGTCACGTAAAATATCACGTAGGGCGATTATCGCAGTGACGAATTACGAATAGCATTATTCTTTAGTATGGTCCTGTTTGTTTCCCATTAATGAAAGAATGAGAATGAAAAATATAATTATTACGAATCCCACACAAGAGATAAAAATTCAAATATAACGATTTGATGTAACGAATAACGGTCATATTTTTTATTTTAATGACCAAATAATAGGAAACAAACTGGGGCAATATATGGGTTTCAAAAGACTTATAAATTAATCAAAATATAAATTTATATGATAAGTAAAACATAAATAAGTCTATGTTTGAGTTTCATTATTTGAATTTTTTCAAATAAAATTTTATCATACATTATTTTAATAAAATAATTTACAAGTAAATTAAAAAATTTCTATTTTTTAATCATATATTCTTAAAAAAATTACCATAATAAATAAAATTATTCTTTCAAACAATTAGAGTGAACAAACCACAAATATAATTTTACAAGAAGAAAAAAATCCAAAAAGTGAACGCCGTTATCTGAAAAATGATTCCTAATTTGAAAAGTACTAGGATTTGTATTTTATTACGAAACAACCATCTTTGAATTCCGTACATTTAGGTGGATTGGGATCTACCGAATATCCTATAAATTTCGAACTTATTACTAGACTGCCACTTCTAGAATTTTTGTGGAGGTTTATATTGCGGTACATGTGGTCCATATTAGTGCCAATATTGCCCAATGGAAAAGCAACTCTAAAGTTTAACCCTTGAAATTTTATAAAGCCATTAAATTTTGGATTTGTACCTCTTCATTGGTTTCAATGGCTACAATGTCATGTATTGAACAATTGTTACTTTGCTAGCTCCATTTTTTCTTCAAAATCTAATTTTTAATAGTGATTTTACACCATTTTAATCACACAATTTTCAATAAAATAATATTACACGCAAGTTTAAAACTTTTCGTTATTTTTTTACCACACATTCTCTATCATAACACTATTTCAAATTACATTTTCAAGAAAAATGGGGCTCAAACAATCCCTTTATTGATAAAGCTTGTGACTTGTGACTTACCTATCATTGTTTTTCTTGCAAATTGAGTCTTCATCCAAAACTTCATAGATTTTTAGAAAATTAATTATAATATTTTTAAATATTGAAAAATGTGTTACATTAAGTCCCCGTTTCGCGGAATATTATTTTTCTGAAGAATGAATGATTGAAAAAGAAAGAAAAATTTTCGATTTACATATAATATTATGTTATGGAAGATAAATTGAGTGCATGTCGAGTGTCTATCTACTAGTGTAGGCACTATAATAATAAATCTATGTTTCAATTCGATGAGTCCTTTCGATGAAAAATAAATAGATATTCTATGATCTTGTTAATTTTCTCCAGCAAAATCATTTTCTTTGTTAAAGAAGTTAGTTTATCATGATTCAAACACAAATTCATAAGATGATCATTTGCAAATTAAAAATATATCAAATATATTTTCTTTAAACTTTTGCACTTGGTTAATCAAATAATTAAGGGGGGTGTCCTCAATCTAGAATTTAATGATTTTAAAACTCCATATAAATTGAAGTATCCTCAATTCAGATTTAAATACAATTCATTAAAATATAGGTGTCCCCAATCTAGATTTTTAAAAATACTTATAAATTTAGGTGTCCTCAACATAGATTTTAATAGGTAGTTTTGAAATTTAGATGTCCTCAATAACTAGTTGATTTTAAAAGATTTCATTAAGTACATAGATTTTGAAGGATTTCAAGGTAAAAATATAAGTACAAAGAATCAAAAACAATTTTAACTCAAACATAAAAATTTCACAACATTTCTCACCTCTCTCCATATTTGCTACCCCCTCTCTCTCTATCTCCCCCTCCATTTTCAACAAGATTTTCTTCTTCTTTCTATCTCACATTTCTCTACTGTGAAAAGATCGTGTATGAGAACTTTTCAATTGATGATAATTTATGAAAGATTACTATTTTTTGTTGAATACTGGGTGTGATTTTTTATTGAACTTATTTTTTCTTATCGAAGCTATTTATTGTTTACTATTTTATAGATGTACTGGAAGTTATCATGGTAATTTATGATTTCTAGTATGCATACTGGAACAACTTCGTCTTTCAAGTTCTGTATCCTATTCCTTTTTCTTGGGTAGAGCTGTGTGTTTTCTATATATACCTGCAAATCCTAGCCAAGACATGTGAGGATAGTATCCTACAATTTTTTCTTTTGTGTCTGCATGGTCAATGAGAGTTCTGGGGGCATGGAATTAATTGTTTTGTGGTCATGTATGTGTACATCTGTGTGTTTGTATCTCATAAGGTTGTGGCCTTTTAAACTAATTCATATTGATTGCGACTTTGATTATTTAACACTACATATTTTTGTCCTCTCCCACTCTCGCATTTTGTTGAATATTGAGTGTATTTTTTATTGAAGCTCTGTTATAATATTCAACGTTTAACAAACAATTGAACAAGGATTCAATCATTTTCTGTGATTTATTAACGTGAATATGTGTAAGAATGGGTCGTTAAGGAAGAAGTAAAAATTTGTGGCTTATGCTAAGCATATTTATAAATTTTACCTAGAATTTATAAAATCCATTGAAATTTATAAAATCCATGAAAATCTTTAAAAATCTACAAAATAGAAATCCATTCAAATCTTATGAAATCTATTAAATTCTATCAAATTTCACACAATCCATGAGAATTTATAAATATTAAGAAATCTATTAAACTCTAAAATGGGGACAACCCCGTAAATGACTAAGAAGCATATTCAAGAAGCAAAAAATGTGATTTTTTGAGTATCTTCAATGCATTTCATGAATTATCGATTTTTCGTTTATAATTCAAATTTCATTTTTAATGTATATTTAATAAGAATAATTGTAGTCATGATTCTAAATCTTTCAAATCTTTGTAATGTTTGCTATAACCTTTCAATTGTTTGCACCCCACGATTCCGTACCTTTCATTATATTACAACGAACTGACATATGGATGGAAATCATCCGTTTTATCATTAGTTGACTAAAAAATTAATTTAAACAACATTTTTAACTTCTTCGTAAAGGGTAAAATAGTATCTTTATAGTTTTTCACATAAACTAACAGAATAGATTTGGGATCGTGTGTGCAATAAATGAAAGATTAGAGTAAAATTGGCAAAGATTTGAGACTGTGACTACAATTATCCCAATTTAATATGATAAAAGATTGTGTAGCACAAAATTCCTACTTTATTTCATTAGCTCAAGATATGTATGTTAGAAGATGTACATAGTACAAGGAAAAATGAAAATGATACAAGGAAAGAACTATAATTTAAAATAGAATTTGGTGGATCTAAATATAGAATATCTGCTTCATACTCATCATTTAGACTATGAACAACAACTTGCAGATGAGTGGACGAAAAATATTTTCTCTAGCCTTTGCAAAAATTTTGCAATTTGATTCCTTGTATAAACATAAGCAGTGTGAATGAGACTAGCTTGAACGTTTTCATAAATAACATGGCAATCAATCTGAATATATTTAGTGCATGCATAGATTTGGATTGACATGAATGTGTGGACAAGCTTAGTTATAAAAAAAACATGTTAGTTGGAAAATGATGAGAAACATGAAATCTGTCAATAAGTGGAGGAGCCATGGGATTTCACAAGTAACAACCACTACATGATATTCTGATTCGACAAAAGATTGAGAAATTACATTTTGCTTTTTTGACTTCCACGAATTGGAAAAGTATCCAACAAGATGCAATAACCAGTAACTAAAGGATGAGTTTCAATGCAACTTACATAATCAGAGCTTGGTTAGAGTGTACTGAATGGAGAATATTGGAATGCGAAACAAGAATCACCCAAAAAATAATTATTATTTTTTAATTCAAAAACTCAAGATCGTTATTTCTGGATATTGTGGTGCCTGTGCTGATAAGGTAAAGGATGGCATGAAATGACAAATGTTGGTGGCCATTGTATGCTTCCACAATCAACCACCTAGTTGAGCAAAGATCAATGGTTGGATGAAGAATGGGCGGAACAATGTATACACACAATCATGGTGGATGTTGATGGAGGAAGATTGTTTGTGACCCAAATTCATCTATGGTTTGTATAATTTGATACATTGGGTCTTGAAGACATCTAAATAATATCCATGGAGGAAAAAATAATTGATGGTGCGTCTATCACTTGCTAGACACTCGAGGGACAAGTCAGAATTTTCAGCATAGGACTTGATGCTTGCCTACTGCTCAACCAGCTCTCAAGCGTCGCCGTCATCCTGGTTTTCCTTGTCTTATTTATTCTACACATTTTTTGACATAGTTTCCATCTTTAGAGCTATTATTAGGATTTAATATATATCCCTATATATAGTTGACTTCTCTTCATAGTTAGAACATGATTTTACCACATTATTACCGTAAGTTAGAATTGTGTAGGAACACAATATAATTTCTCTCTCCATCATAGTTGAACAAAATCTTCAATTCCTCTTCTATATTAAATTATTGTGCTCAATATTTCATATCGTGCCATATAACCTCGTTCGGTTTCCAGTAGGTGGTATCAAAGCTTTGATTTGATTTTTTCGAGGTTTTTGTTCTTGATGGCAACCACGAAGTACAACATTTCGCTTTTGGATTGCAACATTAGATTTTTGTTATGACGGGTGAAGGTGGGAGCAGTACTCGCTCAAAATGAATTTAGATGTGTTGTTAAGATTTGACAAGATGCCCACAACTTGGA